TGTCTATATAGAGGATGGTTCACGTGCGAAGCTTCTCCCAAGTGAAAAATGGGGTGAGATTTGAGCCATTGATCTAATCTAGATCCGTCAACGGCTCAAACTGAAGGAATTTTTTTTTTAAAAATGTGCTTCTTGGCAACATGCATGGATGCCAATGATCAAGTGTATTTAATTGATACACCTTAAGCTTCGAACTTATGCACCTTAAACTGGAAAATAATGCACCTTAAGTTTTAAACATACGCCCCTTAAGAGTGAAACTGATGCACCTTAAACTAGAAAGTGACGCACCTTAAGCTTTAAACTTACGCACCTTAAGCTATAAACATACGCACCTTAACCTAGACATCTAAAGCTATAAACTTACGCACCTTAAGCTTTGCACTTATGCACCTTATGTTGGAAAATAATGTACCTTAAGCTTTAAACATACACATGTTAAAAGTTAAACTGATGCATAAATTAGAAAGTGACGCACCTTATTCTTTAAACATACACACCTTAAGCTATAAACTTACGCACTGTAAGTTTTAGACTTAAACACCTTAAACTTTAAACTTAGGCACCTAAAGCTATAAACTTACGCACCTTAAACTTTAAAGTTTCGCACTTTAAGCTATGACCTTACGCAAAATGACCATAATGCCACCATAATTTTTTTTAATTGTTCTTCATTCTGAGCTGTTGATTTTGGCAAGATTAAAAGTTGTGACTAATCCACATGTTTCACCTGGAAAACTTGGGAGAAAGAGTCGCACTTGATCCCTTGTCTATATATACATATGTGTGTGTGTTGAATTAAAAATATAAGAGAAATGAAAGAGACTTTGGTGGCATTCAAAAAAAAAAAAAAAAGAGACTTTGGTGATTATGAAGATGGAGTAAAATTACACATTTATTATTTTAATATATATATATATATATATATATATATATATATATATATATATATATATATTATGCTCAACACATATTCTATTTTGTTGGTAATGATGGAAGAATTCTATTCGTTAGGGAGAAAGAGAATTGAAGCAGATTGATTCTGTACTCCATGTGTAGCAATAGTATAATAATAAAATATGCGCATGAATGAGATCACTTGTTGCGAATAAACCCCCGGCCCATAGAGCACCTCAATGGTGGTTGACTATTTTTTTCTCATATGGAGGAGACAAAAGCCCTATATAATACGGAGTACAATTTAGTTTCTGAAGTGCAATTCTCGTCAAAAATTTTATACGCAAGTGATATTAATTATATATATAAAAAAATCACATATGAAATTTCTCTTTTTCTCACACTTAGGCTATCCTTGCAAATCTCTTTCAAAAATGAGTCCCGCTCCTACATCATCTAATTTAGAATTCACATTATATCCCTACAAATTCAATCTATCTGTTTATAATTACTTTCTCAACCTATTGAAGCACAAAGAGCCAATAACGACTCCACTGAAACTTGAACTCACAACCTCCTATATGAGAATCTAACCCGAGTGTCATCTGTGCACAAGGTGGTTGGCCAATATCACATCACTTTAAAATATTAATAAATAAATACAATAAAATAATAAAAGAAAACAAAAGAAGTAAATAAACGAAAAAAAGGTACAAAGTTGCCGCAACAGCAGCTGCTGCGGCAACTTTATACGGATTGCAAATTACATTTTATGCAAATTTGCAATCCACCTCATCATTAAAAAAAATAAAAATGTTTATAAAAATTGCCATGTCAACTTGCCAGTGTAAGAGGATATTTTCAGCCTTATTTTCGTTATTTTTAAAAAAATTATTCCAATTTGATGTTCTGTCAGTACAAGTCAGAATTCAGAAACCAATCAACATACGAGTAAATCTAAAATGTTCTTGTTTTATGTTGGTTTTCGTATTGTGCATGTTTAAATGATAAGAATATATTTTCTGTATTCAATGATAATGTCTGAGAGTACAGGGAGCGAATATATAGAATGCTGGATAGAATCTTAATCTAACACGAATAATATAGTTCTAGTCTAATATGGATAATAGAGTCCTAATACTCCCCCTCAAGCACAAATTTGGTGAGCCAAAACATTGAGTTTGAAATAGAGTAAATTAAAACGTACAGACGAAAGAAACTTAGTAAAAAAATATCCGCTATCTTATCTTTAGTAGAAATAAAATTGACTTGTAATTCCTTCTTTGCTACTCTATCACGAACAAAGTGGTAGTCGATCTCAATGTGCTTGGTGCGAGCATGAAACACCGGATTAGCACATAGATAAGTAGCTCCTAGATTATCACACCAGAGTTTGGGCGCAGAAGGTGGCGCAAACCCGTGAACCAGGCACGGGGAGCTTGCTTAAGCCTATGCAAAGAACGTTGAAAGAGACAAACATGCCCGGGCATCGTTTTGTCTTCATAGCCAGGGGCCTGGCGCATATAAACCTTCTCAGCAAGATTGCCATTTAGGAAAACATTGTGAATGTCTAACTGTCGAATAGTCCATCCACGAGAAATAGCTAAGGATAAGAGAAGTCGTACCGTAGTCGGTTTAACCACGGGACTAAAAGGCTCAAAGAAATCCTCACCGGCAACCTGATTGAATCCCTTGGCAACTAATCGAGCCTTGTAACGCTCAACTGAACCATCAGCTTTTCTCTTGGTTCTAAACACCCACTTGCAGCCAACCACATTCATAGCTGATTTAAAAGGAACGAGCCGCCATGTATTGGTGTGCACCAAGGCATTAAATTCCAAATCCATTGCATCCCGCCATTCGGGAAATTTGACCGCTTGAGTAAAACATGTAAGCTCAGTAGTGACATCAGTGGATAGAGCAACATGATCATGCGGCCCCGAGCTCAGCGTATTCATTCCATGAGACCGAACGGGTGAGATAATGGGATGAGATTGACCACGGGGTCGACCTCTCGGCCGAGCAGGTAGCTGGTCCGTGACTGTCCGCTCAGACTCGGTCACGGATGGCTCGGCAGAGGTGGGCTGATCGCGGTACTGGTCGGACCTGGCTACGGGCACGGCATGTTGATCATTGAATACAGAAAATATATGAGTCCGCCAGAATAGATAATTCCGGGAGGTCAACTTTAACGAAACAAAGTGATGAGTCGATGAGATGCTACCACTCCCAGGCATCGTAGGAATCTCGGTAACAGTCCGTTCAGAGGAACCAAGAACAGAGCCGTCATTAACACCGATATTTTCCATGGAAAAACCTAGCTGATACCAGATGAGAATATATTTTCTGTATTCAATGATAATGTCTGAGAGTACAGGGAGCGAATATATAGAGATGCAAGATAGAATCCTAGTCTAACACGAATAATATAGTCTTAGTCTAATATGGATAATAGAGTCCTAATATAAATAAGGTATTTACTGGTTTGTGCTTGTTAAACTTAAATGAATTGTATGCCCTTCTTGTTGTTCATTAGGTTCACCCAGATTTTTTCTTTCCCTTTCACACAATCAATAAACAACACTTCAAAAAATGTACTCCGTACTAATTTGATTTACGAGAATATCCACAGTTGTTACCCAAAGTTGTGCACTGGGTTAAGTTCACTTTATAACCTAATAGGTAAAGGACCATAAGAAGGTAAACTAATCTAGGTTGTCCATAGCTGATTGACTCAAACTGAGAAGGCCAATAGGCAACTCTCTCAAAGAGTCGAACTTGATTACCAAACCAACTGTCTGACCAACTTGACTAGGTTGCCAAAATAATAAAAAGAAGAAGAAGGAACGCTCCAAAACGCTCTCTACCTAGGGCTTCTAGGTCTTCACGTTGGTCCATCGACTTTTCTCACGGAGGCTTTTCCGGTTGGCCGATCAATTTGTTTCCGCTGCTTGCATGTATGGCATCGACGACGGATGTACCGGGGGTTGCAGGGCTCACCGAAAGGTGGGCAGACATGGTTTTGGAGGAGGAGGCCACGACGTTCATGCCAGCGGCCGAGGCGGAAGAGGAGGATGCGACGCCGGTTGTCGAAGAGGAAAGCTAGGGACTTGTTGGCCGTTTCTTAACACGGAAGCTATCAGGCTTGAGTTCATGAGTTAGGTCATGGCGTCGGTGTGGCAACTGGTGAGTGGAGTTGAAGCAACGGAGGTGGAGCCTGGCCGGTTTTTGTTCGTCTTCCACCACGACACAGACATGGAACGGGTTCTAAACGACGGGCCTTGGTCCTTTGATAATAGCACCCTTGTGTGTAAGCAAGTCCCCGAGGGAGTGATGCCGGCGGATGTGGTGTTGGACACGGTCGATTTATGGGTACAACTACATGGATTACCAAGAGGTTACTCGTCTGGCCGAATACTGGAACAGATTGGGAATTTCATGGGGAAATTTGTAAAGAGCGATGATCGTTTTGACAATGTTCCATGGAAGGTGTTTCATCGCATTAGGGTTTCGCTAGCTGTTGATAAGCCCTTGAAAAGACGAATGAATTTTATTAAGCATGATAAAACAAACTGCTGGGTCACGTTCAAGTACGAACGATTACATACGTACTACTATTTTTGTGGCATGCTAGGGCACTCCTATAAATTCTGTCATGGTGCGAGAGACACGAAGATGGCGGTGGAGGAGTATTTGTTTGGGCCTGAGTTGCGCGCTGGAGGAACTCGTGGCCCTAGGCCGGTGGGGGGCAGTTGGTTGTTGCCGCCGGGGCGTTCGACAGTGCCACAGCGTACGCCGGTGCAGATCGAGGAGGAGGGGCGGGGGTCGGGTGGTGGTAATCGGCCCAATAACGCCGTGGAGGAGGGGTTGGTGGCGGTTGCCAAACGGCGCCGGGAGGAGGTGGGGGATGATGGGGTGTTAGTTGGTGGGGATGTTGTTATGGCCGAGCTCTCAAAAAACTTGCAGCAGGCGGGTTCTGGATCCCAGACCCGCCCGAACTAATGAGTACCCTAAGTTGGAACTGCCGTGGCTTGGGTAATCCACGGACAGTTCGTGAAGTTGTGGACATGGTGTCCCGTAAGCAACCCGACTTTGTATTTCTGATGGAGACTAAGGTGGCACGCGATCATGCTGAGCGAATTCGTGTCAAAATCGGCTTTGAAGGACTGTTTTATGTTGATAATAATGGCTTGAGTGGTGGTTTGGCATTTTTTTGGAGGAAGAATAATACGGCACGTTTACTCAGTTACTCAACGAACTATGTTGATGTTGAGGTAACTATTGCTGGTTTTCTACGATGGCGTATGACGTGTTATTATGGGTTTCCCGAACGTACAAGGCACACTGAATCATGGGATCTCTTGAGAACGTTATCTGGCAAATCAAGTCTTCCGTGGATTGTTGTGGGGGATTTCAATGATTTGTTATATCAGTATGAGAAGAAAGGGGGGAATTCGCATCCGAATAGCCTCCTACGCGGTTTTGGGGATGCTATTGAAGATTGTGGGCTTGCCCAAATGCCGATGGATGGATACCCGTATACATGGGAAAAGGGGAAGGGGATAGTTAATTGGTTTGAGGAGAGGCTTGACAAGGTCTTAGTAACTGAGGAATGGCGCAACATAGTCGAGAGGGCCAGGGTGTCAAATTTGAGAACCCGAAAATCTGATCATTCGTTTCTCTTTCTGGGAATTCATGAGTCCTTAGGGAGGAATGGGCCTGGTAAGAGGGGATTTCGATTTGAGATGGCATGGTTGTATTATGAGGGGTGTGGAGGTGGTTCAGCAGTCATGGCAAGAAGGACGGGGACAGGGCTTGCAGAGCTGTATTGAATACTGTGGAGATCGGTTAACACGATGGGGTGGAGACCGGTACCACAAGTATGGCAAACAGATTAATGACCTAAACAAGAAGCAGCAACGGTTGAGGGGATGTACTGATCCGTCCTCACTTGCCGAGTTTCAGCGCTTAGAACAGCTTCTAAGTCGCACTAAAGCCCAGGAGGATGCTTACTGGAGGCAGAGAGCTAAGCAGCACTGGCTCAAGGAGGCCGACGCCAATACGAAGATTTTCCACAGGTATGTTTCTCATCGTAAAAAGAAGAATACTATATCTAGATTAATGAATGATAATGGGGACTGGGTGGAAGGGGAGCCTATGAGAAATATTATTTTTGAATACTTCAATCATATTTTCTGCTCTGAAAATCCGGGATCTGGAGAGGGTTTCTTTGAAGGTATTGCCCCGCGGGTAACTCAGGCACAGGATGAGACATTGCTTAGGCCCTTTGAATTGGAGGAGGTTAAAACCGCTTTGTTTGCAATGTTTCCAGACAAGGCTCTAGGGCCGGATGGAATGAATCCGGGTTTCTATCAGCATTTCTGGGATGTGGTAGGGGGTGATGTTAGTCACTGATCTGCGTCCTATAGCTCTCAGTAATGTGATTTATAGGATTATGGCAAAAATAATTACTAATAGAATGAAGCCGTTGATGGAGATAATTATATCGGAGTTTCAATGTGCCTTTATCCCTGATAGACTAATCACAGATAATATCTTATTAGCTGCGGAGGTTGGACATTTTTTAAATCGAAAGCAATGTGGTATGGTGGGGTGGAGTGCTCTTAAACTAGATATGGCAAAGGCCTATGACCGGATGGAATGGTCTTTCCTTAGAAGCATGATGTTGGCATTGGGCTTTGATGAAAGATGGGTGGAGTTGATAATGAAGTGTGTAACTACTGTTTCGTATAACATATTGATAAATGGCTCCCGGAGTGACACCATTGTACCGTCGCTGGGTTTAAGGCAAGGAGACCCATTGTCCCCATATCTATTCATTATTTGTGCAGAGGGACTTTCCTTACTATTGCAGCAGGCTCATAACTCAGGTTTGATTTATGGTTACAGAGTTGCGAGAGGTGCTCCCCCTATCTCTCATTTGTTTTTTGCTGATGACAGTCTTTTATTTTTTAAGGCTAATGTGGAGGAGGCTAATGAGATTAAAAGATGCCTATCAATTTACGAGAGTTTATCTGGGCAGGTGGTTAATTATCACAAGTTAAGTGTTATAGCATAAATATGAATGACACGAATAAGGAAGCTGTGGCTCATGTATTGGGAGTAGGGCAGGCTCCTAATTTTGGCAAGTATTTGGGTCTTCCCTCTTTTGTTGGAAGGAACAAAAAAGCAGCTTTCTCATATATTGAGGATAAAATACGCCAGAGGATTGGGTCGTGGAACAAGAGATTATTATCACAGGCAGGAAATGAGATTTTGTTGAAAAGTGTGGCACAAGCTATGCTTACCTTCTCAATGAGTGTCTTTTTACTACCAGTATCTGTGTGCACGGCAATTGAAAGGACTATGAATCGTTACTGGTGGGACTCTGGAACTGATAGGCGAATACATTGGAAGGCTTGAGATAAGTTATGCGTCCCAAAGAAATATGGAGGTTTGGGTTTTAAGGATTTACGTGCTTTTAACCTAGCAATGTTGGGGAAGCAGGCATGGCGGATGCTTACTAAACCTGAGTCCCTAGTGGCTCGTGTATATAAGGCTCGCTATTATGTTAAGGGTTCATTTTTTGATGCACAAATAGGAAATAACCCCAGTTTCTGTTGGCGGAGTATTATGGCAGCTAAGAGTATAATTTGTAGTGGGGTAAGACGCAGAATTGGAAACGGGGAGTCTACACTCATATGGGCTCACCACTGGTTATAGGATGATCACGACCCCATGATACAAACTGAGATGCCAATACAATTGGAGGATGCCAGAGTGGTGGGATTGATAGATCAACAGATAGTTCATGGGATCACTCAATTTTAACTGATTTGTTTCAACCTAATGATGTGGCAAATATTATAAAAATACCTGTCTCCCCGGAATAGGATGATATGTGGTATTGGCATGGCGACCCGAGAGGAATTTATTCAGTAAAGTGCGGATACAGGTTGATAGTTGGAAATTATGAAAGTGGTACCGGGACATTTACGAAATGGCTGACCCTATGGAAACTCAAAATCCCCCCAAAGTGGATGATGTTTCTGTGGAGAGCCATTTGTGATATTTTGCCAACTACTACTAACTTGCTTATAAAGAGGGTAGATGTGGATCCACATTGTGCCATGTGTGGAATATCTCAAGAGGACACTATGCATGCTTTAGTATTGTGCGAATTTGCGAAGAACATATGGGAACGATCCAACCTTCCAATCCCAAATATTGTGACAAATATTTTTCATATTTTGTTTGGTGAGCTATTAAATGTTTTAGACTCTGATGGGATTGTGTATGCAACATCAATTCTATACAATATTTGGAGAGCACGGAACGGGGCGGTTTGGAATGCATGTCTACCACACCCATCATCCTTGATCATGGCAGCAAGGATTACCATGCAAGCATGGTTACAAGCACAGCAACCCACTGCTACCCGAATCGAGACGGCGCCGCCTACGGCATCACAGCCCATCCTCCATGCTATGCGGTCTGCACCGTCTCGAAGGATATGCCGAGTCGACGCGGGATACGTGCATGGCTCAGGCAAGGCCACGGTTAAGGCTATTCTCCTAGACGTGGATGCGGGATATGTCTCGGCTCTTACTGCACCTCTCCCGGATTGCTCCTCACCACTAATGGCCGAGGCGCTGGCTTGCAAGGAAGCCTTATCATGGTTAAAGGATCGGGGGGAGCAGCACATCGACATATATACGAATTGTTTGACACTACAACGATATCTTACTACGCCATCTGCTGCGTTTCGCTCTTACGTCGGCTATGCCATTAACAGCTGCAGAGCAGCTGTGTCTTTATTTCAGTCTTGTTCAATTAATTATATTACTAGATTAGGCAATTATTTATGTAACACCCCGAAATTTTTAAATTTTTGAAGCTTATATAATAGAGGTAAGTTCTCATTAAATCCCAGAACATAATATAAATAGTACAGGGTGCTATGCCACACCTGAGCTAGAGAACTCAGGTGCACAGGCTAATGATGTTATCACATCTGTGCTTGTTTTTATGGTTATTTTGAATCATCACAGTAATTAAGCTCTTTAATTTTGCTTATTTAATACATGTTTTCCTTGCTATTATCATTTAATTATGGTTCGCACTTATTTTTGAACCATTTTAGGTCAAAGATATGACCAAGGGGAGTTCAAGGATGAGTTTGGAGCAATTTTGGATGAGTTCGGGGCCCAGTGGACTCGACGCGTCGAGCCAAGGGCTCGACACGTCGAAATTTTCCAGTAGCTAATTAATTCGCGCACAGGAAGTTTCGAGGCGTCGAGAAAATTCTCGACGCGTCGAATATGCGTCTGTTTCTGGGATAAAAACAGACGCCTAAAGTGGCGCGGATAAAAAAAACAGACGCTTAAAGTGGCGCAGCTAGGCAAAATTCAATACAAGCGCGAGATCTCTTTTCCTAATATCAATTGCGCGGATTTCAAGGCTCATATCTCCATATTAAAAGTTAGCAATTCAAGGAATCTTCCAAATTCTAAATATCATTAAAGACGACAATTTCTTTATTTAAATATAGGAATTAGAATTTGATTCCAATTTGGTACAAGATTCCTATTTCATCTCAACTTTGTACCCACTATAAAATCCCTCCTTCCTCAACCCTAATGGGAGGACGGGGACCGAGAGAATTCAGAGATTCTTGGAGACAAGAAGGAGAGAAATCAAGAGCCACAAGTTGTCTTGGAAAGCAAGAAGAAGACTAGGGAGATTTGGGAAAATCGTCTGGTTAATTCTTGTACTCTTTTGATGATTCGTAATTCTTTATTTATATTTGCTATGTATAATTTAGTCATGCTTGGCTAAATTCTTTAGAGATTCTTGGGTAAAAGTGTTTATGAACCTATGTGCCTGAGCTCTCAGTTTCTTTAATATATTATTATTTGGGTTTAATACTTGTGTTGCAATCGTGATAATATTGTTTGATGCTTGTAATTAATGGCCATAGTTACTAGCTTCATAGCCATGTTTGTGTCACCAATGGGAATTGGGGCATAAATTAGGGCACACACGATTGCACCTAATGGTTGGTCCTTGGGAAAGGGAAACTTATTAGGGGAAGTTTATTCTAGATTATTGCTCATCGGGAGATGGTAGTAATTAGGAATAATTGAATGCTGATCTTTGATCTTATTGGGTGTTTAAGCCATGGGAGTGGAAATTCACTAGGAATAGAGATTACGGGAGTAATTCGATTCCACTTTGCATTCCCACACAAATCTTAATTCCAAACTAAATATTGCAAACGATAATTGGCACTAGGTGATTAAATACTTGAATCCCATGAATCTCAACTTCTCTCTAATTGTTTCCAAAATCCTGAACCTCTGTTTTATTTTATGCCAATTAATCATCTAAGTAATTGTTAGGATTAGCTCTAATGAATAAGTTAGTAACTAGTGCTTGATACAACCACTTCCCTGTGGATCGATAACTCGTACTCCGAGAATTATTTGTTTGCAAATATACTACGCATCAAATTGGCGCCGTTGCCGGGGAGGTGGTGCTTCTAGTATTAACATTAGTGAAATCTTTATTCTAGGAGACTAGTCCATTTTTTATTTTATTTTATTTTATTTTATTTTATTTTATTTTGCTAACCCATAACAAGTTCATTGTTTTGAGTGTGATTTAGTTTATGGATAGATATGCATTCCAAGGAACCATGCCACCGTTTTACCCTCCTTCTCAAGGTTATGAGATGAGTTGGAATATGAATCGAGAATATGGAGGAATGGAACAACAATTCCCTTTCTCAAATTTTGCCAACTCTAGTCAAGGATATTATCAAGAAAGTTCATATCAAACATCACAACCCCAATGGTGCTCATTTTGTGGTGGGAATCACTTTGTGGAAAATTGTTACATGCTCAACCCCACCAACTATATCCCTCAACAATCTACTCAAGGATTTTGTGCCAACATGAGTCAAGCTACTTATCAAAGATGCACACCACCTACTCCACAACCCTCACGGTGCATGATATGTGGTGGATCTCATGAGGCGGAAAATTACTTTATCATGGATCCCAATTACAAGTATCAAGAGCGAGCTCAAGAGTTGCCGTACCAAGAGTTTCAACAAGATTGTCAATCACTTGACCAAATAATTGAGATGAAGTCCAAAGAGACCAAGGTAATGCAATTGTGCTCGAAATATCTGGAGTTACAAGATCACATGAAGGCTCAACTTGATCGCATGAATGCTCGACTCAATCGCATGATGGCTCGACAGCAAGATTTGACAATTCAAGAGCCACTTCAAGATTCATTTAATGGAGAGGTTCTAGAAGAGTTGCTCTTGCCAAATGAAGGTCATGAAGTTGAGAGAAATAAAAAGGATGATGAGGATCTTAGAAAGGAAGATGAAGAAATATTTGATAAATGCATTGAGATGGAGACACCAAGCTGGGAGGAAAATGTAGAGTTGCAAGGTAATGATGGCAAGGAACATATAGAGAGTTGCCCATTAGATGAGGAAGTTCTTAATGGAGCAAATGATTTGAATGAGGATGTCTCACCAATGGAGAACACTTCCCTTGGAGAGAACTTCAGAGAAATTTTGAATTTGGGAGGCATTGGAGTTCTTAAGGATAATGGCACACATTTGCCTATCTATATATCCAATGATTCCCAATACTTGCTGGTTCATGTGAATGATCCGAGACTCTCATTACTTGTTGAACAAAAGAGTGTTGAAAAAGAAGGAAAAGAGAATGGAGGCATAATTCTTGATTCGGGCAAATGTGGTTCTTTACATGATGACGTGAAGGGTTCGAGCTTAAGAGAGTTTATAAATGGACACCACTTGAAGAAATACTTGGAAGAGAAAGTTGATGGAAAGAAGGGGATTTTTCTTCTCCAATCACCTGATGGCTAGAGAGGTAACGTCGAGCTAACGACGTTAAATTTAGCGCTTCATGGGAGGCACCCCATGTTATCTTTTATTACTTTCCCTATTCATTTATTGCTTTCTAGTTTCGACTTATTTAGTTTTATTATTTTCTAGTTCGTGATTATTTTATTGCTTCTTAGTTTTCTCTTTTCTCTTGTTCTCCTTTTCTTTTATTTTGCATCAGGGATGATGCAAAGTTTTAAGTGTGAGGGGGAGGAATCATTAATTTGGGGATATTTCTAAATTTTTAAAATTTTTGCTTTTGCTTGGATGACTCATATGCTATTTTTGGTGAATAAGTTACTTGTCTTAGCATGCAGTTACAATTACTCTCTCTTGTTGGTTTGTGGTTTGTTTTAGTGGTGCTTGCTGCATCTCAATTTGTGATGGATGATTTGAGGTGTAACACATATTTGATCTATTCCCTTGCCAATAGCTTTGTTAACCACTTAATAATTGGATTAATTCTTGATCTTGTGTTATGCATTGCTAGTGA